CATATTAAATCACAATTCTCAAGGGGTAATAGAATAACTCATTTCCTGGCAGACCTTAGAAGCTGCGATGGCTGATCATCTGTAGGAAGTAGTTAGTGAGCAATGGTCGAGGTGCTGGGTGATGGGTGGGCCTGCCCTGTTAGCCAGAAGTGACACTAACAAGCGTAATTTCGCATGTTTCGTACTGGCGATCGCTAAGCTGACAGGCGTTGGCAAATTTCAGCCGCTCGCCCTGCACTTCGCATCCGCCAAATTGGCCACGGCTGCAGTGCCAGCTACGAAGAGCCAGTCCCACAAGATCCGAAGATCCGAAGGGGAAGTGGTTGAGGCAGCGGCAACAAAGTCAAAACCGGACTCTCGATGGTCGAGAGGACTGGACCGGGCCCGAAACTCGGCTCCAGAGGCGGCAACCACCACTAACCGCATGGCTGTTGTTTTGACATGTTTAGGTTTGCGCCTGTCAAATTAAACGAATTGATGATACGACACCCAAAGCGTTTCTCAGGCAGCACAAACTGGCCAAGAAGACGGCGAAGAAGCAGGCAAACGGGCAACAGGCAACGGGCAACGGGCAACGGGCAACAGGCAAAGATGAATTAAATGCCGGGCTAAAACCTGAGCGCGGGCCTAATTGAAAAAAACACTGAAACAGTGAAACACCGAACGGCCGGCCAAGTTAGCATCATCAGTTAAGACGGGAACGGGCCATTTTCGAAGTGTGTGTATCTGTGAGCTGCCATTATGGCCAGCAACCAGTTTTCCCCGAAACATAACGAAACTGCCCCAAAGACCGAGAAGAAAATGCTTTCGAGCCCGATCAGCCAACCAAAACGGGCCAAGACATTTAAGTTTTCTTGCCAAGATTTGCTCTCTCTCCCCTCCTCGTTTAGTTTTTTTTTCCTCTTCTCCTTTTTTTTGCATTTCTTTAGCGGCTTTGGAGGGATTTTCCCTTTCAAGTTTCCCACACGGAAAAAAACAGACACTTTGGGTGCGACTGGCTGTCAGTTGTTCATTTAATTTCCATCTACAATTACAAGATGCCACGCCCCTTTCCCACACACGCAGTCGAGTCACAATATTGTGACTTTTGGTGGCGGCCCATAAAGATTACGGCAGGACACAAAAGGGCGAAGGGAAAGGAAACGGTGCCGAGTGTCCTTGCTCATTGATTCTAATTGCTTATGAAAGGAGCCGCCGGACTATGAACCTGGATCCTGCTGTCATCCTAGAGCCTCTCCCACACCCTCGATCTCGGTTTGAAAAATATCAAAAGGTCAGCCGACGAACAAGTGGCAAGCAGGCCATCCTGCCACATGTGTGTGGTCCGCTGGTCCAGTCGTCCTATAGCATTTACCCCTCCCCCTTTAAAAAAGACCATGTGTTGCTGGTGATGCTGATGTTGCTGCGAGCTATCAATAAATTACGGGGCGATTGATTGCTGATAGGCCGCTGCACATAAACCACGGGCTTATGACAGTTTTGGCACAGCATTCGCTGCGCCTCGAGTTCGCTGCCTAAGTCTTTCGTTTGGGGGGCCTAAACGGCAGCAGCAGCAGCAGCCACAGCCAAAGCAAAAGCGGCAGCGGCAGCACAACGACGAAGAGTAATGGCTGTAAACCTTTTTGTCGACACTAATTTTTTTCTTTTTTTTTCTCTCTTACCAATGTGGCTGCCTTTTCTTGTTGCTGTTGCTGTTGTTGTTGCTGCTTGTGTGTCGCGCGCGCGCGCATTAAAGCCCCCAAGCGTGTGTTGTTGTTGCATGTTCATGTTAATGCTGTCCAAACGATCAGTCACCAAGCCAACAACAACAGAAACAGCAACAGCAACAACAACAACAATGACAACAACAACAGCGGCTTGGCTGTCCTCTGTTTTGTAATAATTTATCAGTTTAGTCTTCACAACAAAGATAAAATAACGATAATTTTAACCACTTTAATGGTTTATTAATTTATGACCCTTCAAGTTCTTCACTTTCCACTCACCGCCGACACCGACGACGAGGCCTGAGATTTTTCTTGTCCCTCTTTTACATTTATTTTTTGTTTCCCATTTGGTTTATGTTTCAGTGCCTTTTTTGTGGTAGAAGGTAGATTTCACACCAATTTTTCTTGTTACTACCGCGCTTCCTCTCCGTTGCCTTCTTTTTGTTGTTGTTGTTGTTGTTGTTGTGTCCAGTCTGTTTTATTTGGACCCCCATCCCGCCGACCGCTTCCCCATCGATTATGGGTTTTATAGACCGCCAGCCATATGTATTTAATCCGATTTTTATTGTTTCTACACTTTTGTGTGTCCGCCCGTCCGTGTGTTTACCAAAATGCATCAATGGGAATTTCGGGCTGGCTGCACCGGGAAGGTGCATTTTCTTTGGAATTCCATGGCAGCAGCAGCAGCAGCAGCAGCGGCAGCGGCGGCAGCCGCAACAAGGCCACTTTATGGCCACTCATTATAATAAGCGCGCGCGGTTAGTGGTCGCCTTTGGTCTGGAATTTTTAATTTGAATTTTACAAGCGGAGCAGCAGCAGCAGCAGTGCGGCGCTTCGGGTGTGAAGGCCCCCAGATCCAGAGAAAGTTCTATCGAAGTGCATCCCGATTTTTCCAGATCCATTTGGGTGGCCCTCTGGCCTTAACTGCAACACGATACCCATTAATGATGATTAATGCGGCCTGCGCTTCGATTATTGTTTTGGGTGGGTTGCAGCATGTTCGGTAATTGCCAACAGGTTGCCAAAAAGGTTGGGAAAACAAACCACGAACTGCTACCTGGCCCATCCCCTTTTTTCGGCTTTTGGTTTTTGGTTTTTGGTTTTCGGTTTTTAGTTTTCATTTTTGCCAGCTCACCTCCCTCCCTGGGATTCCTAAGCCGCTTTGGCTCGAGTTCGGTCTTGGACCGATGCTGCTGATCCCACGGCTAATCTTGTAGGAAAAACAAGATCACAATTTTTGTGCAAGCCGAAACAAAAACACGGCGGACGCTTGTTATTGATATGCCTGCCAGATCGCAGATTGCTGATCTCCGATCTCCGATCTCTGTTCCCCGATCGCATTATGTTCCTGGCTTGTTGGCGAGCCGCAAAAGGCAGTCCTTTCAGTCCTTTCGTGTCCATTGTTTCACATTGGGCTGCAACGGGCCCGCCTCGGATCTGTGAAAACCTTTTTGACTTGTTGGGCTTGGCAATTGGATGCTTAACGCCAAATTAGATTAGCAAACTAATGCCATTACCTGGGCGGCCAGCACAGAGGGCCAAGTAAACTATCTGCAGATCAAGGACAAAATTTATGATCTCAGATTGTGTAGTTTTAAAAGGTGCTTCTTGATACAAGATTAGAAATACATTTACATTTTAGTGTTACTTGGGTGAATGAAGTAGTACAAGTATATTATTAGATAGTTTAATTTGATTTTAAAGTTAACAATTTGCAATGTTTCTAACCACATCCTTCTTTTCTTTACTTGCAGATTCCTCGATCAGCTCCCATGTGCACGGCTGTTTCACCCCGGAGAGCACGGCCCTCCTGGAAAGCGGAGTCCGCAAGCCGCTCGGCGAGCTCTCTATCGGAGACCGAGTCCTGAGCATGGCCTCCAACGGACAGGCTGTCTTCAGCGAGGTGATCCTCTTCATGGACCGCAATCTCGAGCAGATGCAGAACTTCGTTGTGCTACACACGGATGGCGGTGCTGTGCTCACTGTTACGCCGGCCCACTTGGTGAGCGTTTGGAAGCCGGAGAGCCAGGAGCTGACCTTCGTCTTTGCTGATCGCGTCGTGGAGCAGAACCAGGTGCTCGTCCGCGATGAGGCGACGGGCGAACTGAGGCCACAGCGCGTCATCAAGGTGGGCAGCGTGCGCAGCAAGGGCGTGGTGGCGCCCCTGACCCGCGAGGGCACCATTGTGGTCAACTCGGTGGCCGCCAGTTGCTATGCGGTGATCAACAGCCAATCGCTGGCTCACTGGGGACTGGCTCCCATGCGCCTCCTTTCCACGCTGGAGGCGTGGCTGCCCGCCAAGGAGCAGTTGCACAGTTCGCCGAAGGTCGTGACCCAGGCGGAGCAGCAGAATGGCATCCACTGGTACGCCAACGCCCTCTACAAGGTCAAGGATTACGTACTGCCGCAGAGCTGGCGCCACGATTGAGGACCTTCTCGACCCCGATCCTGTATTGTATTATATCCTGTAGTTATGTATATGCCTAATGATTGATGTATTTCAATGTTGAATATCGTTAATAATCGATCGATACTATTTATTTACCACAAAAAACGAAACACACACAAAAAACCCCACCCAAGCGATAAAGCAAAGAGAGCAAACGAAAAAAGAAATCAAAAACTTCAACGAAAACATTGTTAAATGTCCTTGACTTATTGTTTTTACAAACATTTTAGCTATAAGTAGGCAATCCTCGGCGCAGATCCTGAAGATGAAAAGAAAAACGTACACCTTTTTCAAATCAGCAAACTCCCGAAGAACACAGACGACTGTTACTGTATATTATAATGGAATTGAATTGCATAACTTATTGAGGTGCGGCTGAGAGTTCCAAGCCATTGGATATAAACATATATCGTACTTTGTATATAGAAGAAGCATTATAGTGACTGAATACTTTATTGTAATTGTGTATATAATACTTAATAGTTAACTGCGTATTTATACTTAATATTTAATGAAATATAATGAAATTGTTTGATAAATAGAATTTTCATTATTTTTACTTTGTTCCTAATGGTATTTTTTGATACAGCAGTTGCAGAGACAAGGTTTCACTTTCAAAATTTTTTTTAACAACTTTGGGTTTTTTCGTCAAGTTTTAAACTTTTGAGTCTTAACCGCCATTTGGCTTAATAGGGGAACTGCCAACTTGCTTGCTGATGAGGATTTACGAAATTAGGCCACACTAATGTTACAGCCTTACAATAATATCGATAGTGATGGATTGACAATGTTTGTAGTTTTTCTTTCTATCGGCGCGCTAAATTCGATACCTATCGTCCTATCGATTGACATAGTTAGTTATTTTCATATCGTATCGTTGTGTATCATTTTTAATTAATATCCTGTAAAATAATATTTGCTTACATCGGTATTGGGTCACTTTATTTTGTTTTTTCGAACGCCCTATATCCCGATCGTAACCCCGAGTATCCTGATCTTTGGCCAGAGTTCTGAAAAGTAAAAATGAATATTTGCCGCTTGTGTCTGGCAAAAGACGCCAACTTTGATGTATTTGGAAGTGGAACAACTGCCCTAAGGATCATTGCATGCACATCGCTAGAAATAGAACCAAACGATGGGCTTCCACAGCACATATGTGCTCCCTGTCGGCTGCGCCTTGAGGAGATGCACCACTTTCGGAGACGATGCCAGGCGGCTGATCGTCGACTGAGACGCCACAAGGTTCTGCAACGCCAGGGAATCAAAACAACTTTGGAAGAAATCGGGGATCAGCAGCCGCCCCTGCGGGATGTGGCTGGATGCACGACCACCGCCTGTTCTGAGAGCAACTCTCAGTGGCGCACCCAGGCTGCCCAGCTCATCCGCACCGAGATTGATTCCTTCAAAAAGGACCTCCTTAACTCCTGCAAACAGTCTGTACGCGCCGACATCGAACATGAACTCCGGCCGCAGCTGGAGAAGGTGATCCTGGCTGAAGCCAAGCAGCAGGTGCGATTAAGCGTCCTAGACGACGTATTTTACGAACTAGAGAGTTATTTTGTGCGAAAGCGCAATGAGACTTGCGAGCAGGTTAGTTGTTCAGAGAGCTATTCCACGGATTGCAACGGTCAGTTGGTTTCTGACCAGCCTGATGAATTGTACGAAGTATCGGCAGGGGAAGAACTCGGGGAGTCCCACGATCTAGGCGTAGTGGACCTGCTGGGTAATGTAACTAATTTCATAATTCAATCGTATATTTTTACATATTAAAACTAATTTGCAGACGTCGAACCGGAGCCCAGCGAACAGCCAGCTTTCACCGCAGTAGTTCCTGTCCCCATGGTGGAGATAAATATGAACGATCCACAGTTGAGCCATCTCCGCGACAATTTTAACAAGGACTTCTTTCTTAACACTACCAAATCTCCTAAAAAGCCAAGTATCCAATCGCCGTGCCCCAAGAAAGTCCGTTTTGAAACCCCACAAAAAAAAGCAGAGACAGTCTGCCGAAATCACGGTTCTTGGTCGGAAAGGTATTCTCAGTCTCCTAACCAAACAGGCAGGCGTGTACCCATCGAAACACACAGCAAGAAGACAGAGGGACTCTGTCGGAAACACAGCTCCTTGTCTCGAAGAAGCTCACAGCCAAGCAACTCGGGCAATTGTGTGCGTTGCCGTCTCAGAGGAGCGGATAAGCTAAATAGCTCAGTGTCGTAGTCAGTAACATAAATAAATGTATTTTCGTATCTACACATTTTAGTGATAAGACTAAAAATAGCATGGACCCACGTGTTTTTATCCTTGCCTTGCATATGTATGTACATACATACATATTTTGTCTATTTATGGCCTACATAAAATCTTAAGCGATATTGATGTTATTAAGTCGTCTACTTGTATTTGTAAAGACTCGAGTCCATACAAGACTCGAATAATATAAAGGCGTTTTTTCAGTAAAAAATCATTTTTTTTTTATACAACAACACTATAGTAAATGGTTTCAAAATAAATCGACCTGATGCTGTTCGAAAGATGTTTTTATGGCCTACATATAATCTTAAGCGATATTATTAGTGTATTTATAAAGACTCGAATCCATACAAAGATTCGAATAAAATAAGGTAAATGTTTACAATGTTACAATCGCATCTTCAATTGTTTATAACAAAAAAACGGTGCAAAATTTTCACTTTCCGCCAACGGATTTCGAAGTTTTAGAAAAAAACACATCATTTGCATATTTGCACTTGTAAACAATTACCACATTTTCAAACAAATTGTTTCAAGAAAACAATATACAGAAATATATTATTTCTGGGGTTCATATTTTACGTTAAATTTTTCTCTAAGTTCTTAAATGTTCAAAACAGTGTGGGTAAAAAAGTTGGTATTTTTTGCCGCCCTACATGCGGTCACATTATTTGCGATGCCCAGAGACGCCACCGAATAAATTCACCCAAAAGTAAACGATTTCATGGAAGCTCCGCCGTCGTATCCCGATTTGGCGACCCTGTGCCGTCTGTGCCTTAAGGAGCACCAGGATGCGTACGCAATCTTTGAGGCGGACGATGCGCAGCTCTCGATTCCCGTGCGCCTGATGGCCTGTGTCGCTCTGGACGCGAAGGCGGCGGACACCTTGCCCAAGAAGATATGCCAGGAGTGTCGTTACCAGCTGGAGAAATCTTTTCTCTTTCGCCAGCGCTGTCAAGCGGTGGAGAAGAAGCTGCGCAAGCACATACGCCTTTTGGGCATGGGGAAGCGCAGCCGCGTCTTCTCTAAGGATCCCGATGACTACGACGAGGACGAGCTCGAGTTCGAAGACTCCATAGCCTTCATCGAGTCCCAGGACAAAGTGCGGAAGCAGGAGGAAGAGAAGTGGCGCGAGGAATTCAAGGAAGAGCAGGCGGCGGAGTTCAACAAGCGGCTGGTCAAGTCTCGCTTGGAAATCCGCGCGAAACTATCCACTGAGCTGCGCAAGACATTATCAGAGGAGGTGCGCAACGAGGTACGCGAGGAGTTGATCGAGGAGGTGCGCATTGATGTGCGAGATGAACTGCGCAACGAGGTCTGTGAGGAAATGCGCAAGGAGCAGCTGGCCATGCTCTTGGGCGAACTGGAGGTGTATCTCACCGAAAAAAAGGCCGGTCAGTGGGAACCATTGGAGGGCTCGGAAACAAAATCACAGGCCAAGGAGGATACCTCCGCAGTCGGCCACAAAATGAAGCCTTCTCCCAAGCGTCCAAGCTCACCCGGCAAGTCACAGATGCAACAACCTATGAAAGAAGAAAAAGAATTCATTCTGGAATGCAATTCAGAGCCCTTGAGTGCCACTCCACTCGAGGAGGAAGTGCCCACCGAGAGTGGAAACGACTTCAGGGACATCGAAATGGTCGAGAGTGGGGATGTGGTGCGCACCGACGAAGGAGAAATTTACATTATAAACTCGACCAGTTCGGAAGATCAAAAACCCGATTCGACACCCGAATTTGACGAGGATAACGACATTACCTCCTACAATAGTGAGTGGTAGTCTGCTGAAGATTAATTTCCTTATTATGTTTATTTGTTTACCTTTTTATTTAGTCAAGGAAGACGGTGAGATTCAGTTCAGCGGCGAGAAATCCGAGGAAATGGAGGATGTTGTGGTGTTTAATCTGGATAGTGAAATATCTGAAGAGCAGCAGGTCTTTAACTTTGACGAGAATGTCATTATAGTGGTAATTAAGAATCTTTTCTTTGTGTGACTATTGTAACCAGAATCTTTGCCCTATTAGGAAAAGGAGCAGCTTAAAAGAGAGGATCTGACGCCTGTAAAACGGAAGAGATCGAGTGATTTTGTGTTTAAGCAGACGGCCAGTTGTCCTCAGCCACAAGCCGGTCGGGTAACGGACACGGTGAAATCCTTTCCCTGTCATTTATGCCCGGTGGCCTTTGCCACGCAGAAGCTGTTGACACGCCACCACAATACCCACATCAAGGGCCTGAAGAGCGGCAAGGGCGGGACACTCAAGTGTCCCAGCTGCTCACTGCAGCTGTCCTGCGCCAGTTCCCTCAAGCGGCACATGATCATCCACACGGGCTTGAAACCCTTCAAATGCGAAGAGTGCGATCAGGCTTTTTCCCAACGTGAAGTTCTCAAGCGGCACATGGACACCCACACGGGAGCCAAGCGCCATCAGTGTCCGCAATGCTCTAGTTGCTTTGCCCAGAAATCCAATCTGCAGCAGCACATTGGCCGTGTTCACATGGGCAACTCCAGGCAACATAAGTGTCATCTGTGCCAGCGCAGTTTTAACCACGTTTCTGGTCTGAGTCGCCATTTGGTCACCCATGCCGGCGTCATGTTCTCCTGCAAGCAATGCGGACGGCAATTCAACGATCGCAGTGCTGTCCAGCGTCATGTTACGACTATGCACAAAGTCAAGAACAAGTCTGCGGACTACATATCTGAGCCCGAGATCAGCGAAATCGAGTTTCAGGCTGTGTAATATAGAAATAAAATAGGACAATGCAGACCCTTTATGTTAATTCACCTAGAAACAAAAATTTTACTCTGATTATTTTACAACTTTATTCGCGAACTTGAAGTGCTCACAACAGTTGGCACCAAATATCATCAATACGATAGTGTTAAAACAGTTAGAAAACATGCAGCATTAAACAGTTTAGCAAACAAATACAAATCGGAACATTTGGAACAGCTCTGTAACAGGATACCATATAGCTAGACGTACATTTTACAATATCGTTTAATAAATACCACATAAGACGATGTACAATATGATAGGCAAATACACGTATTTTTTAATAAACTCAACTCTTCTACGAATACTTTAAACTTAAGCTAAATGCCGAAAAAACGGTACTCAAAATGCGCTTTAAAGAAATCGAATAGGGTTTCCCTACCATTCGAATGCAAAATGCAATTAATAATATTTTCGTGTATAATCGGAAGCGCTTTTCAAATGAGATTGCCTAGGGAAACAAGCCCGTAACGACTTCCTTCGAAATCGAAACCGTTTAACATTTCTGGTTAATGCGATATAAAGCCAATAACAATCCAATATGCACCCTAGCCTACTAATTCGGAAAATATCCTTAATAACGAGTAAGTTCCTAACTCCTGCGACCCACTTGTCGCTGCTAGTCGGAATTCGTCAGAGAGCTGCGCTGCGATTCAAGTGTGTTCGAGTCGTGACGCTGGCGCAGCACTCGCGTCTGACTGGCGGGCAATTTAGAAAAGTCTTTCATCACGTTCTTGTAAGTCTCATCTTCCCCGTTATACTCGTCGTTGGGACCAATCTCGTCGTTCAGTTGTGTCAATCGAAGTCTGAAAAAATATTCTATTAGTATCCGCACGAAAATACTTAGTTATCCTACTCACAGTGTTACAATATCAGCGTTTTCTTGATCCACCGCAATGTCCAGCGCCTTTTTGCCATCACTGGATGCCAGATCGTAAGCAGCCTTATGCTTGAGCAGCAGATACACTTGGGCAATGTGTCCCTTGGCCGTGGATATGTGAAGGGCGCTATATCCCAGCTCGTCCACCGCATCGATGGCGGCACCATTTAGCAGCAAGAACTCGCAGGCCATCACGGAGCCAGAGATTACGGCCTGATGCAGGAATGATCTTTGCCGGTCCTGGGGATTCTTCCACACTTTGTCAGCGCCCAAAGCGAAGGCCATGCACATCACGGGCAGATTGTGCACCACCGAGGCCATGTAAAGCAACTGGTTGGCGTCGAGCTGGGAGAAGGGCAGCTCCTCCGGTGACTCTACATCCGACTCGCCATCGGTGCTCTCCTGATCGCTGCCCAGAATGCCGGGCGTCTCCAGTCTATCCAGTTCCAGATCGTCGCCGATCACCAGCAGATCGTCACGCGAGATGCTCAGTGACATAGAGGGAATGTTGATGGATTCATCATCATCGTCCAGCTCGTCGCCCGTCTTGGCTGTGTTATAGATGCTCGGGTCGTCGCTCAGCGTTTTCGGCAGGGGACGCAGCTTTTGCCTTCGTCGAAGCTTCTTTACCGCCCACTTGCGGGTGCCGCCTAGTGATAATGTAGCCCTCTTAGCGATGCCACTTCCGCCACTTTCCCCGTCTTCAACCACTCCGCCACTGTCTATGCTCAGCACTTCGGCCGTCTCGCTGGCCAGCAGCTCTTGTGGTTTGGGCATGCCGCAAACGAACCGCCGTTCCACATATTTCGCCTTGATCCAGGCTTCACGCACACCGATCTCGCACTGCTCGGTGGGCTTCTTCAGACTACAATCATCACCGATGCGTGCCTCATAGATACGGTTTACTACCTCGTTGCCCAGCTCCATCATCACCTTTACGTTTTCCGTTTCCCAGGCATCCAGCGTTAGCGAGCGCACCTTGCTGTAGTGGACACCAAGGCTGCGATGCACGCCTGAGCACTCGATGCACAGCGTGATGCCCAGGTTAATGGAGGCCCATCGCGGTTCGGGACTCCTGCAGTCGCAGCAATAAGCGTTGCCCGGTATCTTAAGGAACTCCTCCCAGTGGCTGTGGAAAACAGAATCGTTTGCGTAACGACAGAAGGGGAATTTCTTGGTGATTCAAACATACATTTTACGCTTGGCGGGCAGAGCGTTGTTGGGTGTGTTCGTCGACTGCGGTCGCGAGTGGTGCGTGGAGTCATGCTGGATGGCTGCACCAATACTATGCTGCAGCGCGGAGATCCAAAGGGAAAGCATATCCGCGGAGTCTGCCTGCAGGATGTGGGATCTGAAAAGTGGCAGTCAAGTTTAGTATCTCATTCAGGAGGCGAATCAATCATCGATTACTCACTTGGTTGGTGAGATGACCTCAAAGCAGAAGCGGCGATCGCCCTCGTTCACCGGACGCACGCTGCAGATGCGCAGGTCCTCCTCCATGACCGAGAACGAGTCCTCGTTGCTGCGTTTTCTGCAATGCGAATCCAAATCACTTCAGCGTACGGCCACACACATCACATCACACCACACAACAAAACATCACAAAAATCAAAAGTTGCAAACGAAATAAAAGACGATTGATTAACTAAGCAAGCAGATGGGAGATGGCATTTCTAGTTGGACAAAATGAGCGGCAGTTAAGTAAAGCTTTGCGTGAACCCACCTGTATACGAGCTGGTTGTCGCTGAGGTAGAACCAACGACGGCACCAGGTTTTGAAACCCTTGGACTTCTTCTTGAAAAGATACCCCTCGATCTTGTTGGAAGTGCTGTTAGTGTTCGAGTCGCAGTAGCGATTAACGCTCATGTGTCGGTTCTGCATGGCCTTCTCCAGCTGCTGGTAGTCCCCGCGCAGAGCATTCAAATCCTCGCTGATGTTCTTGAAGAACTCGTCGAAGTCGTTGCACAGGTCGAAGCCCTGGTGGTAGTAGGTCACGCACGCCTGATAGTAGTCCAATAGCTGCCGAAAAAGAGCAGATGAACCCAGTTTAAAAACGTGCTTTTCGCAAAAGAATAGCAACTATTGTTCTGAACTCGTCGACGGCAACACTCCAGCTCTAAGCACTCCCGATAGACAACTGAGCGAATTGGCCAGCGCACAACTGACTCAGCTTGCTGATCAATGGTAAAAGATATGGAACGTACACAAAGGCACATTGATATCACAACAGTGACGTCATAAACATAACAAATCCCAGAAATGTATTTGCTTAGCGGTCGCGGGGCACTCCATTCATGGCATTCGGTAGGGTGCGATAAGCAATATCTGATGGAACCTTGGCCTTTCCTTACCGTTGACAATATGGAAGGAACCTTGCGAGCCTGCACAAGCGTAATATAGTTGACATAATCCAGAGCGGTGTGTTGGAAGCACGATTTCGAGGCGGAAAGGATATTGGCAGCCTCTTGCATCTCCTGCGGTCGGTTTTTACTGGCCTGCAGTAAATAAAACAAATTTATAGCTAGATAAACGTATATTATTGACTAAAATCCCAACCCACCTGTGCGTTCTTAATCAACGCATTGTCATAGCCCTCGGAAACCTTGAGGAAATGCCCCTTGTAGTCCTTCACCTGGTTGATGTCGTCCTTGACAAACACACTGAGATTTTTGAGTACCGTGCGACTAGCCTGGTCCAACAGAATGGTGTGGAACTTGTTCATCTCCTGCAAGGAAGGAAGGATATGTTGTTTATATAGCGCTTTTCAGGAATTCCCTGTCCATTCCCACCTGAAAGCAGTGAATCAGCTTGCCTAGCGCATTGTGCGCATTCTTGTTGTCGAGAAAGTGATGCTGCAAATCCCACAAGGACATGGCAAAGGCGCTGGGAAAACACAAAAACGAAGAATCGATGGAAATGAATATTTATGAGAATATATAACTACGCGCCAAGTTGTTTACCTCTGATTTTTGACATACTCCTTGCCCGAGTCCACGGCTACATTGCACAGCTTGATGATTTTCTCCAGTCGCTGCTCCAAGTGCTCGATGTCGCTCTCCTCCTTGGACACAAATTGTCTGGCAAAGAAAAAAAACAAATTGAAAACGTTAGCACAATACCGTCAAGATGTAAACAAAAGATGGTCATAAGCTTGGTTAAACTGATGATTAAAATTGCCTTTGACTCTGGCTGGGCAGGGTAAATATAATCTGCTCGCTTAATCAAAGAAGTTATCGCGGGGTCTCTCACTTCGCTTCTGTTTATGTTGACACTTTTAATTTATGCGGACTTATTCAAGCGCTGTTTGCTCTTCCAATTGAAGATGCCTCGCCACAAAATAGAGCGCTGTCAAGGGAACAAGTTTTTGTATCACTCTGTTGCGTCTTCTTCTAGTTTTCTCGCCTTTTCCCCTGTGCCATATGTACATCGATTTGTTGGGCATTGCTTTTGTTTTAATTCTGTACGTATATTTATTCTCGTACGTACTCTTTCTGAGGGTATTATAGTTTCAAACAGAACAATTTGCCTTCAATGATAGTTAATTTATCTTCCGAATTTCTTGGAAAAGCTTGCCCCAAAGCTATTGTATACATAGATCGAAAAAAACTGGTTCAAAGGCTACAGTAAAACCGAATGCGCAGTTGTTATTGTTTCGAGTGATAACAATAATAAACTTGGCCGTTTATCAAGTTTTGTAAAAATTTAGAAACTTTTGTTAAAATATACGGAAATTCTCATGTGTAGGATTCCATTCTTGAAGGTTTCCTAAAAAAGTATTTTAGGAAGATATCTTTCAGTATATCAAATATATCTTGAATTTGACATGACATTCTTAAATAGTTTTCATGGAAACATATTGTTTAATTGACTAAATTGTGTTATAATTAGATTCTGATCTCCCAAGGTCATAGTTCGGGACCCTTTTAACCTATTGATAAAAAAAAGCACGGCAAGGGTATTTCTTGCTCCAGATTCCTAAGATGGACTTAGTTTCCAGTTTTTGTTTTCATTGAATTTGCTGCATGTGATACAAGAAGTGAGAACTGGAGATTGGGCTGCTGGCAAACGAGTTATTGCCGCTTTGTGCACCGTTTTCGGGGGGAAAGCTTTGTCTATGGGCGCGATTAGTGGAGAAGAAGCAATTTCGGTGAAATCTTATCAATCAGCGGCTAACATTGGAGCATTTCGAAAAAAATAAACGAAATAGACGAGAGCATCGACAATTAGTGGCGGAAACGGGGGAGAGCGGTACGTTTGTACATTCCACAACGCTGACGGGACAAAGTTTGTTCGATGGATGATTAAGCCGCGTTTTCAGGTGCTTTCGGGGAGACATTTTGGGGAGGTACGAGATGGTGGGCTGTATCTGGTTTTGATACCAACCAGTCACGCTACACGAAACAATGCAAATCTCAGCCAAAAGCGGAAACAGTGCGAAATATGGAGAGGAATTCAGAGGGGCGTAATGGGACTGCTGAGGGCGGGGTTATGTTATGTTTATATTCACCTGAAGCGGGGAGAATCCTTCAGGCACTCCTCGAACTCAATGGTGGCGCGCATCTTGACCAGACAACGAAACACATGAAACACGCACGCAGCACTTGCACTGTTGGCTATTTCGCTAATTGCGGCCTGCGAATTATTTTGTTGGCCTGTTGCTGCTGCTTTGCTTTCCTGGCTGGAGATTTCGATTCGCGACTTTCGAGGACGGCTCTTGAGAACCTAATTCCGAGCAATCAAGGATTAGGGAACGAGTCGCATCCTCGTCAATCGACAGCCACACAAGTAGAGCACTGGCCCTAATTAGCGTATTTTGCCGATTTACGCGATTCGAGGGACAAATTAACGAAAATTACAGCGCGCAGAGACGAGACAACAATTAAAACGTCTCACTTTCTCGTAGAGCTGGGTTAATCACTGGCGATGCTATTGAATGAAACATCGAATATTTGGTTATTGCCACCTCTATATAGTGTTAAATGGTCACACACTTTGGCGGGCAAATTTGTTTTGCTTGTTTTCTTGGATACTAAAATTTGTTGATGTTTTTAGGAGGTCTACATGAATGTCATAAAAGAAAATACCTAAAAAGATTTAAATTTATTACCCAAGTTTTTAAAACAAGGTGGTTTTATCTAAAATCCTATATGTAAAGGTAGAGCATTGCCAGCCCGGAGTAAGGCTGCCCACATTTCCCAATAAGAGTGCCTAGTACTGCACAGCGACCACTTGCCGCCCCCACTGTCCAACACTGTTTCATTGTTCTGTTCTCTTCTCTTTCTACTGGTGCTGTTTTGGTTTTTTTGTGCAATTATCCATTAAAGAACGCACCGAAACTCGATGCACATGCCCTGTGCACAACGTGTGGGAGTGCCCAGTGCCAGTTTCATTTATAAAACTATGAGTTTCGCACGATTTCCCGCGCAGCTGACCGCCTGACCGATCAGAGTCTCACGCCCCCTCATGTGTTTACCCTTTGCCTTGCGTTCTATTTGCGTTTCGTGTCCGCTTTAAATCGCCTCATTTGCATCAAACTCGTCTTTTACGTCACAACTCTCTACACCAGGCGGAGGAGTAAGTCACACACCCATTCCCGGAGGAAACATTTAGCTCCTGACCTGTTTTGAAGCCAGAATGTGGAAGTGCCACAAGTGCGGCAAACCCGTTTACTTCGGTAAGACAAAAAAAAAAGGAACACCCACGTACATGCACACAAACACATACCGATCCGTAAATAACTTGTAAATTATATTTATTTATTTTCAGCGGAACGTAAACAATCGCTTGGGTACGACTGGCATCCGGAATGTTTGCGCTGCGAGGAGTGTGGCAAACGCTTAAATCCCGGCCAGCATGCCGAGGTAAGTGGATCACCTGTTAATCGGTCATATGATCTTAATGCATATAGTTATGTTGATCAGCACAAAGGAGTGCCCTACTGCCATGTGCCCTGCTATGGAGCTCTGTTTGGACCCCAGTTGTTTGGACATGGAACCCGCGTGGAATCCCACAAGAGCTACGGTCAGAAGGGCGCCCAGAAACCAGCTGGTGCTCAGGCCAATGGCCCCGCACTTCCAAGGGACCACCTGGAATCCAAGCTGAAGGTGCAGTACTCGGGGGAAACCGAAAACAATGACTCACTAAATCCTCTTTTTATGGGTAGGTCTACAACCAATTCTACGACAACAAAAGCTTGGAGATACGAAGCCGCGAGGTCAATAACCGCCTGGTGTTGGAAGGAGCTTTGCGTGTTTACTGGGGCGTCCAGGGCGTGATTCACCTAAAGGAGGACGACGATCAGCGTATCTTGGTGCGAAAGAGGAATTCCTGTCGTGTTTCCAAAGCTGCAGATGTAAATAACATTTTTTTTAATTTGTAAACTATGTAATTCATGTATATGAAACTCACAGGAAAGCAGCTCAGACAAGGAAAACGAGGCCAGTGAGTCGCTGGCTCCGCCTACAACCACCACTGGAGAGGTCGACCAGCTTTCCACTGATGTTTCACTTTCTGAGAGCATGACCTTCGACTCCTGCAGTTTGAACGAGATCTCCGAGCTCCCTACTACCCCAGAAGATGCTTCGGCCAACACCACATCCAACAGCAAGGAGGTGACCAATGGGAAGGTGTCCAACGACGATGAGGATACAACCACAACCGATTCATCCGGGACTTTGGTGGAGGCGCCCACAGCGAGCACCAGCTGTGTGTCCAGTACACTGCCTTCTAAGTTGGATAATCTGGAGAAGCTTGACTGGGATGATATTGATGATTTGCTGCAAGTGGAGAGGCGTCACAATGACAAGGATCGCATCTACGAAACCATGCCGGTCAAACTGCCTTTGTCGCAGTCCTCCAGCGACAGTTCACCAAGCAAAACATCCTCAGAAACCACGACCACCACTGAATCCAGTTCTACACAATCGGCCTCGACCAACAGCAGCAGCTCCGACAACTTCATGACGGCCACGGGATCGTTGACGACCAATACCAACACGCAAAATACTACAACGGTGTCTACAACTGAAACATCGCTGGACAACTTTGAGACTTGCGATGATACGACCCTGAAGCCGATGGACTTCGAGGATTTTAAGCGCAGTGTGCACCAGGAGTACGTAAATGGGGCAAACTCTTTTAAGGAACCCAACGAGGACACCCTGAAGCGCAACCAGCCAATTGATCCCTCTCGTATCCATGATTCCCTCAAGCTCTACGGCGAAAATTCGGTGATGAGCAAAAGCTTTAACTGCGAGCATGCGTTACGCTCCATAGATCCCACTTTAATCAACGACACCATGAATCTGCGCAGCAGTGTGGGCTCACCGCGATCCACGCAGCGTCAGTACGCCTTGCAGAAAAGCGGATCGGCCTCCGCGTCCACAGTGGCCAACAAAGATCAAAAGAAGTCATATCAGCAGGGGCGGCAGCTATTCGAAAAGGGAATAAACCGCTCGAAATCGGGACCCAGCTGCTTTGTATACTCGGACAGCGATGACGACGACGAAGCCACTCTGCGTCCGCAACGCTTGGCCACCATGAGACGCAGCGATGTGCCTCCCCGGTACATTCAAATCCAGATGGATTGTTATCCCAAAGAGAATGTGGCTGCCGGTAGCGAGGGTGAGTCAAGTCGTGCAGATGCTCCGTCCATTACCAGCGGTGCAGCTGCCGGCGATGAGCTAACGCAAACCGAGGAGTTGTATACGGCGAGCGAGGGAGTTGGAAGTCCGGATGGAGATGGCTCGGCTGGCTTGCATGTAACGGAAGATGGCGTTGTGCTGAGGAGGCCTCCGCGAACTGGAGCTGCAGCTATCAAGCGGCGCAGTGGAAACCGTCGGTGAGTTGTAAAAGGTTCGGTTTCAATATGTGTGCTGGTAATTAAAATACTTTTATCAACAGTTCTCGTACCAAGCTGAAACGTCGGTGCTCTATCAATGGTCACTACTACAATCGAGAGACGTCGTTCTTCACGCCGCCCTACGGTTCTCAAATGTCTGTGTGGGTCTCATCGTTGGTGACTACCACAGAGGTTATCAATTTGGTGCTGGAAAAATACAAGGTGGACAGTTCGCCTAGCAACTTTTCGCTTTTCATTGTGCGCGACAATGGTGAACAGAAGCGTTTGAAGGATGACGAGTATCCTTTGATAACGCGCGTCACTTTGGGACCGCATGAGGACGTGGCTCGTATGTTTTTAGTCGACTCCCGCAAAACTGATGAAATCAGGCAAGTCACTGTGAAAGTTCTGACCGCATTCGTTAATTGTTTCGTTCTTTTATAGTAATGAAGTTGCTCAATTTATAAATTTATCGATCCCCGAGTGTCGTGCCATTCTGGAGCGTTATGATCTGGAAGTGGCCCGTGAAGTGGCCAAAATAAAGGAGAGGTGGGTCTTTTTTTTCATTTTAATATTCTTAAAATAATCGAAACATTTCTGCAGGTACGCCGAATTGCGTCGCCGTATTGTGAGCCGTATGGAATCTCTAAAAGTGCATTTGTAAAACAACATAAAACGGAATCTCTGTCAGAAGAGCAATTTTTTATTAGCCATAACATGAGTGCGGCCAAAAAAGTGTCGGCAGCAGCCCAGCTAAAAGTATTCACGTTTTTATACAAGATTATATTTTTATGTAGGATTTAGAGAAAATTACGAACTAGCAACATTAGGCGCCCAGTGAACAAAAAGCAGCTGCTGCACGTCGCAAATATACATATATAAATTATGTTTAGGGTTCGATTCTTCCCAGCCGAAACTAACAATCATTTCCAGGCATTTCCATTCGTTTAGAAAGCGTTTAAGACTTGTAACTAACCAAAAAATAATTATTAATCCACCACATTACCATACAATTTTTTGTTTTGTGTTTATAATCAAAATATGTGCTTTGTGCAGTCACGTTTAAAGCGGTGTCATGTATCTATTGTACAATGTTTAGCCTTTAAGCCGTGAGCACAGGTCCTGCTAGTAGCGTGTAGTTTAAAGCCATTTTATCGAGTCATTGAACAAAAGTGTGAAAATCAATTTGATTAGCAATTGCAATGCCTGCGAAACAATAACAATAACTGTATACATACTACATATTGCATAACATGGACTTGTTGATTGAAAATCATTTGGAAACCCAATAAAATGTAAAGTTTTAAAAGAAAATCGCAATCGATGGCAGACTGTGGCAAGCGATGCGGAGTTTAAGGCCCCATGGTCACCGATAAATTCCGGAAAGAAACGCGCCCCTAGTGCAAAAGGGCGGATCTGAAGCGGTGGCAAGTGTGAGCCGAATATTCAAAAAAGGCAGCAACCGGCGCCAACCGTCCGTGCCGAAATGGGGATCAAGTGGAGGCGGACTTCAGCGCACACACAGAAGAGGATGAGGGCAAGGGAGGGGGCCAAAAGGAAGCCTGTCCGGGCCAAAGCAACCATCAAAGCACAAGTCAATGATGCCATTATAATAGAGAAGCAGCGCGGTGACGACAACGACGAGGACGAAAGTAGGCAAGCACAGGCTCACTCACATAATAAATGCACACCCCACAGCGACGGAGGCGAGTGTGTGTATGTGTGTGTGTATGCGTGGCTATTAATTTGAAACTGACAGAGCCTACGGGTCTCGGGCTACAACGGCTACAACGTGGCTGGGACTCCAGCGACAGGACCTCGCCAGCGTTGGCCAGCCTTTGAGACGCTCTCATGCTGACGCGTTAAATGGTTTTGGGGTTTCCCGGCCAACGGCATCCGACGCGCTGGCCAGTTCCAAGTGTGCCAAGCGCCAATACATAAAAATCAACAGCCAGCAGCGCGGCCAGCAGCAAAAACTCAAGTCCATTTGGGATGTGAAGTCGCATTGGGCGCCGCCAGTGGCAGGTCCACGACCCGCTGCCTTGGCTCCAGCGTTTATTAAGAGAACTTTGGATCCGCATTCCAGAGCTCTGACAATGGGTGGTTGGCCCAAAGAGAGTCCGGAAAATCGATTTTGGACGAATGCTAGTTGCTGTCTGTTTTGTTGGTGGTGGCAGTCTGGAAGGGCTTGGCAGTTGTTGCTCCAACGGTAAGGGAATGGTGGCCATTTCGAACGGAGAGAGCTTGCATACATTGCGCATACGCAGTGAGTTACACTGCGCGAAGGATTGGATTTATTGCAAGTAAGTATGTGAAAGAATTGCAAACAACCATTTAAATCATTTTTTTTATTACCTTTACATATAAAAATATAAAATACCTAATTATAATTTTATTGTTTTATCGGTACTTAATTATTAAGGGTTTTTAATTGTTTGTTGATTTGGCTTGGTAACCCTGCTGTTCCAGTAGCTCTCTTAGCGCATCCTTCCGCTCTCTTACCCTCGCAGCCCGTGTCGCAAAATTCCAATGCTGTCCGCCGTGGTGGCTGCCACTCACAAGCTCGACTCGAAGGCGCTCAGTTTACGTTTCGGCCGCGTCGCCTTCAGTTCTTTAGTGTTTCGTGTCCAGGCTGCACTTCATCCGCGGAGGCGCCTGCGATTGCAAGAGAAAGAGCAAAAACAGAAACCAAAGCCCAAAACTCATTGTCATTCAAAGCTTAGCATAGTTGCTGCTCGATTGTGTGTGAGTGTGCGTGAGTGCGTAGAACCGAAGGCGTCGGTAGTTTTCCGCAGGACCCCAGCGGATTCCGTGAAGAGGGCGCATCGCCTAGAAGCACTTCCTCCTCCGCAGACACCGTTGTAATCTCCTTTTCCTGTTCCTGTTTCCGTTCCTGTTCCTCAGCGCGGACCACCATGAAGCACTCGCCGCTGATTGCCAGCGCTTGTCTGGCGCTGGTGTTGATGTCATCCAGCCTGATTGGCAGCTCGGAGGCCAGAGCCAAGAAGAAGTACGTCGGCGAGACGGGCGGCGATTTCGAGTTTATCGATGAGGTAAGTCCCAAATGGCTTCACGGCGTATCCCCCATTCATTTACCGTGTCTCCGCTTCCCATCGACTCGGATTCCCCGTCTGGGTCTCGGTTCCGTCTCCGCCTCCCAGTTTGCCACTCTTCCTGTCTGTCTCCTACTTAATGCGCCTTAAGCTGACTGCTGACATTTGCCAACGCTGCGCGACAAAAAAGTGCGAATGCACCGGGAAAAACCCATAGATAAATATGAACTACAATAAACGTTTTTTTAAGCATTTCAAACCCACATTACCAGTAGATCTCGAAAAATGGTTGGTTTGAAAGATCTGTATCATGCCCAATAATACATCCCATCCCATTAATAGCGGGGAACTATTACAAAATACTAGTATGTCTTGAGGACACTAATGATGTATTCAAACTATTAAAAATAAATTAAGCTAAATTACTGATCAAATTGATAATTGGTCGCTAATTACTTCTGATTCCCCTCAATTGATTCAAAACCAAAAACCACATCAGAGATGATGGTTTTTAAGAGATTCGCATCGTGAAAAAGCATTGAAGCGCTCAAGAAAAAATACCCATTTTTTGTTCGGTGTGTTCTGTGGCATATATAACGCAATTGCGCTTTTATTTGCCCAACTTTTTTCCCAGCTCGTCGTTGCTGAGGTTTCACACCAACAACTTCCGGTCGTATTGTTTGTTTTTTTCCGCTCAACGTTTTCAGGCCCGAAAAAGAGAATGCGACGTGCCAATTACTCACGCAAATCCGATTTGTACCAGCCCGAGTTCCCTTTCTTCGAAGAACTGACCCGGCTGAGCTGGGCTATCTGTATCTATGGCTCCCTTCTTGTTCAGGTCTTTAGCACGCACCTGTCCGGATATCGAAGCCGATCCGGGAGTAGGCCCAATGGAAGATACGGGTGCCAGCGCCAGCCAGCGTAGGAAAATCAATAGCATTTGGCAGTCTTGTTGTCGTTCGACTGCGCGTAAACTATGAAGTAAGCGCTAAGCTGCTTTCAGTTGGTCTGCCAACACGCACCACCCGAACCAACCGAAAACCCACCCAAACAGCCCCCAATCCACACGAACCACCCCTCCCCCCTCATCGATGACTGTTAGTCACAGACGCAACGTCGTCGCTTTGTTTTTTTCGCCCATTTGCCTGTATTATTTGCCAGGCGCTTTGCTTTGCTTTCTCTCCAGCTTTTCTTCCTGCTGGACTAGTTCTTTTTTTATACCCTAGCAGAAGGTATTATGAAAATGGTAAAAAAATAAGCTAGTAAAAAAGAAAACTTTATACTTTTTTTTATAAAAACCGTCAAATAAGCTATTATTTCTTCAAGAATTTTAATAACAATTTCTTCGTACTAAACACATTTTTAAAATGTGAAATTAGCAATAAAAGCGCAAGAGCATCTAAGTTTCGACTTTTGAAAGATGACTTCCTTTTTCTATTTTATTATTTTTTGTTGTATTCCGTTTTGTGAATTGTGCTGTGTTTGTTTTGTTTGCCATTTTGGTTTCATTCCCCTTCGCTTCCTTCCCCTTTCCCTTCTTTTTGCTCGGCCATTGTTGAGACCCTCTTTCTAAATGTGTTTGTGTGTATATGTATGTGCTAATAGTCCGCTGCACAAGTGTGTGTGCGTTAACATACACAGACAAACAAACTGAGAATAGCGGCCTTCAAGCAAAATTATTGCGATTCGAAAAAGTTTCCATAGAAAAAGGAGCAAAAAATTTGCAAGAAATAAGGCATTTGAAATTTTTTGGCAGGCACCACATACGCAGAATTTTAAACAGTTTCCAAAACGAATCCACATGTGTCCCTGTATTTGTGTCTTTCGTGCGTGTTACCCATACAAACAGCCCAACAATTTACAGTCTCAGCTTTTGTTTCTGCATAAATTTCACTTTGATGTCCTCAAAATCTCTCCTTTCTGTCAATTTATATTCCTTGCGCTTAGTTTTTTTATCGTCTAATCGCACATTTTCATTTTCTCGCAATGAATTTTACTTTTTATTTCCCTTTTCAAGTATTTGCAATGGAATAAATTATTTGAAAAGTTTATTTAACCAAATTGTCTGCAGTTAAGTGGGAGTTCAAGTTTCACAGATTTCTGCCACTCTGTATTTTCGACACATGCCTGGAATTTTGACTTTCTTTTTAATTGAAAAGTTTTCAAGTAAATTCAGAGTTCTCTTGCCAAAAGTTGTAAGCAAAATCGTTGTGGGGGGAAATCGTTTTTAGCTTAAGTTTTAGGCAAACAGTTCCGGGGAAGCCCAACTGATACAGGCGTATAAATAAATGAAATCATATTTTGTGTATCCCAGGGTTATTTGCTTGGTTATCTGGCAGAAAGGCGGAAGTAATCCCCGCCAGAAGGAAATGGCCCCAAAGTATGCAGCACAAAATAAATAACCATAAACAGTTGACGTTAATCAAGCACAAAAGGCGAAGGCTCACAGATACCCACGCACATTGAAACTGGGAGAAAGATGCCATAGAATTGCGTTATGATTTATGCATGGTGTACATTTCCATTTCCATTTCCCAGCTTCGGTCTCGGTCCAATTTAGATCCGTTTTGTAAGCTTTGCATTAGTCGTAAAAATGATAATAAATTAGCTTAGATCGCAAGGAATTTGCCTGATTTGAAGGCATTTCCGCCGGGCCGTCAACTAAGCAATAATCCGCAGTCATTCATAGCCTAGTTTTAGTCCCTCTCCCCTCCCTCCACAATCCCCATAATCAGCCAGACAAACAGCCACTCAGTGCTGGGAGTCTGAAAGTCAGATGCTCTTACCCATCGATTGCCAACAAATGACGCTCTGTTTGTCAGCACAAAATAAATCTTTGCATTGTGCATTTTGCAATTTGAGCGCTGGGAAATTGTGTAGCTGCAGCATAAAATAAAATGTGAATAAAATGTGTATAAAATGCGAATAAAGTAGAAATAAGCTAAGGGCCTGAGCTCAGACTTTAGCTCTGGATCACATAGAGTGTGCGTAATATATGCAAAACGCAACTCCCTTTTCGCCCCGCCTCGTGTAAACATCTCAGCTGTTGAGTTTTTGTGTGTGAAATAGCTGCCAGCCATAAAGTTGATATGCATAATTTTGTATAAGCGCCACTTAGAGCGCTGCAGACACTATACTATATAGTATATTCCATGGGCACACCTCTCTGATTTTCCTCCTTCGTCCCGCGCAGCTGAAAACTTAATCAGTATGTGACAGAATTACAGTTTTACTTGTAGATGGGAATCCTCCCGCTGGTCAGTGGTTTAGCATCCATTTTTATGGGCACTAGATGGATAATGTCTGGTCTCAGCATCCATTTGACCCCGGTCCATGCGTAGTGCAAGTTATGTAATAAACTTTTATGTTGTCAAACTGTTGCATAAATTGCCAGCACGCAGGCGAAACTTTGCGGGATGCTGAACAGGATCTGTGATGTGTGTGAGTGTGAGCCAGCAGGGACATCATGGCCCGAGAAGTTATAAAAACGGCTGTAAAAGTTAACGGCATAAGTATTCGGCTGCTGTCTGGCTATTTGCCCCCAGCATTAGCACCTATTTAGGGTACCCGGATTCGGGCCAAACGGAGGTGTTCTCAGCCAGGGCTTAGTGAAGTTCAGGTGCAGACAACGAGTCGACTTGGCTAGCAGTTCGTTTCGTTTCGTTCCGTTTGGCTTTCATTAGCATTGCAATTTCCAGCAGCATTCCCACGGTTCCCCGGCTAAAGAGATTTGCATATTGCATGCCAGAAACCGAAAAACGGCGAGGGAACTCCAGCAGCTGAAATGTCTGAAACCAGCAATTTCCTTGCCTTCTTCCAACGATGAAAATTTCCCAGGAGTGACACAGCTCTGGGCTGAAGAAAATATGACCCGAACTAGACATACCAATTTCTCTATTCTTTCCCCAAAAAGAAATAAAAAGAAAAGAGAAAGAGAAAGAGGAATATAAAAACGAGCAGGAAAACTTATGAATCCGTTGCAAACTTTACTCACTTTACTCCTTTATTCACCGGCCCACGCCCACTTATCAGCCTTGTTGTGCATTCCGCTTTCGTCTGCTTTATGGTCTCCCTTATCGCATTGTGGCCTTCGTCCTTGCCAATCGCAACCCCTTCGCCTTGCCGCCCAGCCGCTTAATTTCTTTGTGGCAGGAGTCGAGTCCTGCACGTACACATTAGCAAATTGCCTGCATGTGTGCGAGAGCTGAGCAATGGCGGTACATGGACTGCCTGCAAATTGCAAATGGTGTGCAGCTAAGGTTAAAAAAGCTGCAAATCGCTTACACACAAAGAAAAATTACATTTCCATAGGATATCCACTGAATGCATTTTTTATATGGATCTTAAACATTAGTTTTTTTACATAATCAACTTTTTGAATGGGCAAAAAGATATAATATTTGTACCTGTAATTTTGTTAATTGCTTTCCCAAGGAACCTATTTTTTCTGTGCATGTAACGAACAACTCAAATACGTAATGCGATAGAACAGCCGCAGGATGCGAGTCTGGTTTTCCCTTTGATCATCGACGCTAATTAACTGCTTAACTCGGATTTGGGTACAAGCGCATTTGTTCCGCTCAAGAGCTACTTACTCTTCAGGGCTTCTGCGATGGAGGCATGTTTCATAAATCTTGCACTGCACCCCCTACCAATAAGACAAATTGGTTTTGAAGCAACAAAACTTCGATGTCAGCTAAGGCGAAACTAAAATATTTTTTTCTTTCCTTTCTGCGAAGGGGAAAACTTGAGCAAACTCATTTTTCACTTTCATATTGTTGTGTGGCAGGCCCCAAACAGCTGCAGGACTTTCTATACCGAGCTATTGAGCTCCCCGTACATATGTGTGTGCCACTTAACTGATTATGTAAGACGAGAGGAGCTCTGTGTGTGGGCTTGTCAGTTCTTGTTTGCTCCAGCAACATCTGTATTTACTGCCGGGCAAATATTAAATTTTCATAGCCATGGAGCCAGAGCCAGAGAGCCAGGGAGCCAAGGAT